TGCATGGTCATAAGCAAAAGGATGACCCCTCCCCAGATAGTGGGAATTACAAAACAGAGATACCAAAATCAAACAAGTGCAGAAATTGAAATATCTGAGAAGTGTTTTAACAGAGGACAGAAAGAATGAAGCTGAGATTCAAAGATCCTGAGATTGGGATAGCCACGGAAACATTCCAAAAGCTAGGCAGAGTATGAAGAAATACTTGGTTTCGTTTGGTTTGTTTTATAGCATATCAATTGTAAGAAATCAGTTTGTAGATCAAGGTTTGGGTTTATTTTGTTTCATGGCATATGCCATATATGGTCTGGGGCACCTTCTGTTTACCTTGGAGTTCTTGACAAGATCCAGAGACGGATATGTAATATAATTGGCCCTGATCTGGCATCTCATCTACAGTCACTCTCTCACCAGATGCGCCGTCGCCTCTCTGTCTTTTCTATAAATACTTTCATGGTAACTGCTCCAATGAGCTGCTTTCACTGGTTCCCAGAATCCATGAATTCAGGCGCCCTATGAGACTGGCATCCCGCTCCCACCCTTACACTGTAGAAACTGTTAAATGTAGCCGTCTCTTCTACTCCAATAGCTTCATACCTCGCACCTCTCGCCTGTGGAACACCCTTCCCAATTATTGTTTCCCTGAGAGCTATAATCTCCAACTATTCAAATGTAATGTCAATCGACATCTCCAGTTACCTTGATCTATCCACTATCCCTCTCCTCATCCTTTCTTCTATCACTCCTATCTGCTCTTGCTCCTAATCTTCTGCAACCCCCTGCATCCTAATGGCTTCACGCCTTGCTCGGGGCATAATTCTTAAAAAAAAAAAAAAAAATCAACCTCAATGCTGACAAGATTTTTAGGATAGGTTTGTATGAATAGAATATGTATTCATTGTAAGAAATCAGTTTGTAGATCAGGGTTTGGGTTTATTTTGTTTTACGGTATATCAACCACAATGGGTTATTTAATATCAACAAGATTTTTATTACTGGTAATATTATTTTTCAAAAATGTATTGCTGGTAATAATTTTTTTGCAAAAAAGTATTTCTGGTATTAAAACCTATTTTTACACTTTCATAACATTTTGAACCCAGTTTGGGGGGGTTAACTATTTGCCCTTAGCTGGGACCCCTAACAGTTGCTACCACCACAGGTCAGGGTGGACCTGGGAACACCAGCAATTAAGAGGTGGTTCCACGCCCCTCAAAATCTGCTCAGAGGCCTTACTGTTGGATGTGGTTTATCATCTTACCCAGGACGCCACATTTGAGGGGATCTTACCCCTCTGCAGTGGTGCAATCAGCATATTCTCAAACCCCAGACAACAGGGCAGTAGAAACAAGGAAGAGTAATAAACTGCCATGTGATGTCATCTATGGTAGTGAGTGCTGGATGCTCTACTCAAAGATGAAGAGGAGACTTTAAACAACAGAAATATGATTCTACAGAAGGATGCTGAGGTTACTTTGGACCAAACATATGAGCAATCACAAAGTTTTGGTTTGAGTTGGATTGTTTTACGGCATATCAACACCTCAATGAGTTATTTAATACCGACAAAATTTTTATTGCTGCTAATAATTTTTTTTCTTCAAAATACATTGCTCGTAATAATTTTTACATAAATGTATTGCTTGTATTAAAACCTATTTTTACACTTTCATAGTGTTTTGACCCCAGTTTAGGGGTTAACTATTTGTCCATAGCTGGGGTGGTAGCAACCTAACAGGTGCTACAACCCCAGGTTAGAGTGGATCTGGGAACACCAGTAATTAAGAGGTGGTCCCACACTCCTCAAAACCTCTTGATCAGAGGCCTTGCTGCTGGACGTAGTTTATCATTTTACCCAGGACACCCAAATTGAATGAAAAAAATGGTAAATATTCATTGTACAGAATCCACAATGTTATGGTAAAACTGTATTATGATCCAGATACAGTACAGATATAAAGACTGTGTACAACATAACATGTAAGTATTAGAACTAAATTCTGCAGATTTCAGAGCTTACAAGGGAATTAAAAATTTTCATGTCTTTTGAATGAGACCCCAAAGCATCAAAAGTGATACCAAAAAACTAAGGAACATTTGTGACCTAGAATTTTGCTCCAAGATACTCTGTCTAATGGGTAGCCAGGTTCTCTCCAGAGCAGGTTTTATTAACTATTTGAAGTCATAGTCAAAGGCTTTATCTTGTAATGAAGAATTTAATTCCTTCTTTACTGATTGCTTCCTTTATGATGATGGCATTGATGACTAAATTTACTGCCAACGTGCAGGTTCAGAACTAGAAGCTTCCAGTTCCACCAAAACCTGCAACTGCCATCCATTCTTCACTGTTTGGCTTTGCAAGAGTTGGTTAAAGGTGAAAGAAAATCAAAGTAGAAGAAAGTGCCATTGGCATGAATTTGTTTATGGTGGACCTCAACTTGCCAGGAAATGACCCACACACTTGATTTCATGACCTTCCTCTGCGGCACATATGGAACGAGAAATGCGGAATCCAGTTATGAAACTGCAACAGACTGCCACTAATTCTGTTCTAATTTCAAGTGGCACCTTCTGTAGCATGTCCGTCAAGCGTAAACCTCTTCATAAGCTGGTTCAACTGTTTAGCATCTTGCAATGAAGGAAAAAGTGTTCCAAAGGCAAGCAATGAAAGATGGTTCCAATGAGAGGTCTCCCAAAAAAAACGAGAAAATTCAATGTTTTCAAAATTTTCAATATCTTCAGAATTTTCAATATGGCATAAAAGGATACGAGATAAACTGCTGAAATTTAAATGAAATCTGATGATCTTCAGGACAGGTCCTTGTTGAATCTGGCTGGAATGACTCATTAATTGGTGGCACAAGGACAAAGGGGAAGTGAGGGAAAGCAGGCTGACACTGTGCAACCTCTTCATCGTCTGCTTTATCTCGTATCTAAAAATTTAATTTCTTCTTTGCTGATCACCTCCTTTATGAGGATGGTGTTGATGACTAAATTCAACACCAGCGTGCAGTTTCAGGACTAGAATCTTCCAGTTCCACCAAAACCTGCTCCCATCATCCATTCTCTAATGCCATTTGGCTTTGCAAGAGTTAGTTGGAGGCAAAAGAAAATCAGAGTAGAAGAAAGTACTGATGGCGTGAATTAGTTTAAGGTGGACTTCAACTTGCCAAGAAGCGGCCCACACACTTGATTTCATGACCTTCCTCTGCAGCACATATGGAACGAGGCATGCATAATCCAGTTATGAAACTGCAACAGACTGGAGGAATGGGTTACTAAAGGGAATTAACTGAAACTGGGATCTTCAAAAAAGGCATGGCATGTGGAATTAGAACAATCTACCCCTATGGACTAAATAAAGGGTTCAGTTTGAAATTCCAAAGTATAACACATGAAGAAGGTTGGAGTGCACAATGGCTGAAACATTGTGAATGTAACAATAAAGATGAGGACAACAGTCTGAACGATGTAAATAGCGTAAATTGTGTCATTTAATTTCCAATTTTGTAAGACTCACCCATTGAGGATTTCCACTATGTTGGGGCACCTGAGATCAGTTTGATTTTCACATTGTTGCTCCACATTTGTGGCCTTGTGTCAGACGAAGTTAAACTTGAGAACTTTCTAGTAGAGGTAATGATTAGCAAACTAGCATCTTTACTCACTGTAAAAGCTGCCCCCATTGATTGATTGGTTTTCTATGGTTTATCAACCGTTTACAGGTTATTTAAAGCCAGAAAATATTTTTAGATTGTATGAATTTTTTCTTCTTTTTTGGAGATAATGATTTAGAGATACATGTCTGGATAAATAACCCATAGCTGTGGGGAGAAGAGGTGGATTCATACCTAATCAAAATTTGATAAACAAGAAATTATAATGTGGTTATAAAGTGGGAGATCAACTTTATATTACAATCAATATATAAACTGATCCATCACTTAGTTGCCAGAGTAGTTTTGAGACATTTATATTCCAGAGAATGTAAATGAATCTAAACAACATTCCTGTGTAGCTAATCAGTATTTGATGGATTCATTTTCTACGGATTATCAACCCTTTACAGGTTATTTAAAGCAAGGAAATATTTTTAGTTTGTAAGAATTCTTTTCTCTTTTGGGAGAAAGTAAATGATCTAGTGATATAAGTCTTACTAATTAACCCATACTTGGGGAGAAAAGAGGTGGATTCATACCTAATCAGAACGTGAAAAACAAACAAGAAATAATGTGGATATAAAGTGGGTGATCAATTCTATATTACAATCAATATATAAACCGATCCCTCACTTTGTGACCACCTTAGTTTATATACATTTATACTCCAGAGAAAGTAAATAAATCTAAAAGACATGACTGAGTACCTAATCAGTATTTGATAAACAAGAAATTATAATGTGGATATAAGGTGAGGGATCAATTCTATATTACAATCAATATATAAACTGATCACTCATTTTATGACCACCTTAGTTTCTATACATTTATATCCCAATGAATGTAAATAAATCTAAAAGACATGACTGTGTACCTAATCAGAATTTGATAAACAAGAAATTATAATGTGGATATAAAGTGGGGGATCAATTTTATATTACAATCAATATATAAACTAATCCCTCACTTTGTGGCCAGAGTAGTTTCTATACATTTATATTCCAGAGAATGTAACTAAATCTAAAAGACATGTTTATGTAGCTAATTAGTATTTGATTGACTGGTTGGTTGATTTGTTTTCTATGACTTATCAACCCTTTGCTGGTTATTTAAAGCCAGAAAATATTTTCAAATTGTAAGATTTTTTCTTTTGAGATAATGATGGTTTAGTGATACAAGACTTACTAATTAACCCATAGCTGGGGGGAGAAGAAGTAGATTCATACCTTTTCCAAGGATATTTGTGAATAAGTGAATATAACAAACCCAACAGGAATTGAAACTCTGTTCTCCAATTAATAATTCCATGCCATTATCCATTACACCATCTACACATCCAAGCTTACAACACCAGGTATTCTCAAGTGGTCACCCATCTAAGTATTGACCAGGCTTGATGTTGCTTAATTTTGGTGATCGTACAGGAACTGGTGGTAAGCCAAAACTGCTCCCTCGTAATGGATAGCAAGGGAGTTGCTGTAAGGAGCTTGAGCCCGAGTGCTCCACATTTGTGGCTCTGTGCCAGACTAAGTTAGGCTTATTAGAGTATTTTTGTTATTCAAAGTATTAGTGATTGTAAATTCTGAGACAAAAATTGTCCCCCATTATGTTTTGGTTTTAAGGTTTTGAAAAAGAAGGAAAAGATTAAAGCATAAAAACAGAAGGAAGGCATTAGCGTGAGTAGCCAGGATGAAATTGGAGTATAGAATTATGAAGGAAGAGACAGTGCAACTGACCACACCCGTTTCTTCAATGCTAGCTTGAAAAAAAGCAAAAGCTTAAAAAAGCAGTGTATATGACAATTTTGTTTCAGTTCTGTGCAGTTTTTTTTGGTGGGAACTACTTTTTTTTATTTTTATTTTTTTTAAATTTTAGGAGATTTTTAATTTTGTGCTTTTGTGGGGGGGGATGTATTTATGGTTTTTGTTTATTTTTCCTTAATTTTTGGAGTTTTTTTTTTTGCTTCTCTTTTTTTTTTTCTTGTTATTTTTTAGGGGCATTTATGTTTTTTGTTAATTTTTTTTTCTTTTTTTTCAAATTCATGAGTTTATTTTGGCTTGTTTTTTTTTCCCTTTTTTTTTTTTTTTTTACTTTTTCTTCAATTTTTGGGGGATTTTTTTTGCTTGTTTTTTTTTTTTCTTGTTATTTTTGGGGAGCATTTATTTTTTTTGCTAATTTTTTTTTTTTTTTTTTTTCAAATTTAGAAGTTTCTTTTAGATTTTTTTTGCACAGGGTATATATATTTTTTAGCTATTTTTTTTTTCTGGGGGAGATTTTTTTTCTTTAAATAAAATCCTTACAAATGGATGCATAGTTTCATCATATTCTTTTGTGATATTTATGATGGAAGATATCAATACATAAAAATTTACAATAATTTTCTTTTCTAATAAGATCTGGAAAAGCAAAAGCAAAAATATTCTGATGGTAATTTTAGCCATTTCCTTATATGGAAACATTTGGCATCAATTGACCAATCAGCAAGTGTTATTTTTGGTTGAAATTTATAAAATCTTTCTATTAAAACAACTTTTCATGCAAATAGATTTCTCAAGCCCATTAACTGTTATTGCTCTTTCTAGTGATGAGGACTTCCTAACATTTTGTTTGAACTGGTGTGGAATATCAACATCATAATTATGTTATTATTTTCTCTTCTATTTACATACGATATCAATTTTTACTTGATATTGCTGTAAAGTCGTCAAGTGACATGGTGTCTGTTATTTGGTAAAGTTGTGATTCTATGGCACCAATCCATGAGATTCAGACATAAAGAAGATTTACAGGGTTCAATTAATCAAAGCAATTTTTAAAGTAGTTGTATACAACTGACAGTTTAGATATTTCTGAATGAATTGGGTGCTATGCATGACATCCATATGAAAGTTGAGAGGTTTAATTAATTTTTAAAACTTACTATTTTTCTTATTTATATAAGTTAACAATTTTTTTTTAAAATCTATTTGGAATTCCTGAAAAAAAAGGAAGAAAGAAAACAAGAACGCAATTTCTCAAACAATTTCCCTTTTAACATCGGTAGGTGAAAATGTTATCTGTACCTAATTTTTAAATATTTAGAAAGAAATCTTTATTTGTGGAAAGTCTTGGTAATCTAAGATGCCACCTGTTTGTAGAAGGGGGAATGGAGTTGGTAAAAGTTAATGCTCCACAAAAGCAGTACTGCAACAACTTGAAGGAAAGAGGTTTGGAATGGTGAAAAAGACATTGCCTGATTGAAGGGTGTATGAAGGATATAAAAAATAAACAAAATACAAACTGTGTATAAAAAGGAAAGTCTGCTTTGTTTTTTCTCTTATCTCCAGAACAGAAATGAAAAAAAAAAAAAAATGGCAATAATAAATGAACCAGAGAAAAAAAAAGGAGAAAAAGATAAGGAAAAAAAAGGAAACAAGGAAAAACAGAAGAGGAAAAAAGAAAAAAAAAAAAGAAAAGCTGAAAAAAAAAAAGGGAGGAAAGAGGAGAAAGGAGGAAAGAAGAGAAAGAAAAAAAGAGGGAAAAGAAAAAAAGAAGGAAAAGAGAAAAGAAAGAAAAGAGAAAAAGGAGGAAAAGAGAAAAAGGAGGAAAAGAGAAAAAGGAGGAAAAGAGAAAAAGGAGGAAAAGAGAAAAAGGAGGAAAAGAGAAAAAGGAGGAAAAGAGAAAAAAAAAGAAAAGAGAAAAAAAAAGAAAAGAGAAAAAAAAAGAAAAGAGAAAAAAGAAAAAGAGAAGGAAAAGGAAAAGAGAAGGAAAAGGAAAAGAGAAGGAAAAGGAAAAGAGAAGGAAAAGGAAAAGAGAAGGAAAAGGAAAAGAGAAAGAGAAAAAGAGGGAAAAGAGAAAAAGAGGGAAAAGAAGGAAAAGTGAAAAGAAGGAAAAGAGAAAAAGAAAAGAGAAAAAAGAGGGAAAAGAGAAAAAGAGGGAAAAGAGAAAAAAGAAGGAAAAGAGAAAAAGAAGGAAAAGAGAAAGGAAAAGGAAAAGAGAAAGAGAAAAAGAGGGAAAAGAGAAAAAGAGGGAAAAGAAGGAAAAGTGAAAAGAAGGAAAAGAGAAAAAGAAAAGAGAAAAAAGAGGGAAAAGAGAAAAAGAAGGAAAAGAGAAAGGAAAAGAGAAAAAAAGAAGGAAAAGAAAGAAAAGAGAAAAGAAAGAAGGAAAAGAGAAAAACAAAAGGAACAGAGAAAAAAAAAGGAAGGAAAAGAGAAAAAAGAGGGAAAAGAAGAAAAGACAGAAAAAAAAGAAGATAAAAGAGTAAAAATGAAAGAAGAAAACAAGAAAAATGGATTGAATAAAGGGTTTGGTTTTAATTCCCAGAAGTTTATCAGAGATGAGAGATCCCTGAAGAAGGCAGGAGAGAGTACAATGATTGAAATATTGTGACTGTAACAACCATGATAAGAACATTAGTCTGAGTCAAACAATGTATACTAATACAGAAAAATTATATATATATATATATATATATATATAGTATTTTGCATTAACAGTTCACAAAAATAAACCCAAGTGCAATCTGAATGAGAGTACTGAATTTTATGGAATATAATAATGAAAAAGGGCTTGGCAAATTTGACACTCAAAGGATGTACTGAAGGCAAGAGGGACACAGAGAAACATCAAGTAACCTACCTAACAAGTTTGTCTAAATGGATGGCAGAACAGGGTGTGGGAGGGAGAGTAAAAAGGCAAACATTGCTCCAAGCAAGAAAGGATGAGAATATGCAGAGAGCCACGACTGCCAAAGTCCCGAAGGGTGGCAGCACATAAAAGTAAAAATAATACTACTACGAATAACAAATTTTTTAAACAGAATAATACACTTTTTATGAAAAACAAGTGGGAAAACCGCAAGAGTTAGAGCGACAAAGAAGTTGTGGAGAACCATGACCACCCATGGCCTGGAAGGATATGGCACACAAAAGAAGAATCCACATGGACAACAAAGACAAAGAGGGGGCAAGAGGTACTTAGATCAACAAAAGGCAGGAAGTTGTGGAGAGCCATGATGGTCCACGTCTTGGAGGGACAGTACATAAGAAGAAGAATGTATCTTTTATTAACAAGAACCACAACAAAAAAGGACAAGAAATGAGTAAGAGTTACTTAGATCAACAAAAGACAGGAAGATGTGGAGAACCTAGAAAGAGCATGTCAAATTAAAGAAGATTATCGTCTATCAGACTTGAAACTACTCATATTTTATGAGGGAGGTGTTGAAAAGTTCTTGCCCTAGTCATTAAGAGATTTAGGGAAGTATGTATATATATATATATATATATATATATACATATATATATATATATATATATATATAATTATATATATAAGTAATTCATCGAGTCTGAAAAGTCTCCTTTAAATATAATTATCAAATCCTCCTAAAAATTTCTAATATATATATATATATATATATATATATATATATATTATATATATACACAGGGTGTCCATAAAGTTCGTGTGCACTTTAAAAAATTTATAACTATTTGTATTTGTGATAGAAATAATTTGTAAAAAAGATTAGAAAGAAGTAAATCTATATTTTTTAAGGTTTTATTGAAATTTTATTTAAGTTTCCACATGTCCTCCATCATTAGCAATCCAATGGGTAATACGATTTTGCAGTTCACGGAAAACATTTGTCAACTGATTTAGAGTAATGCCTGAAATCACATTAGTTATTTTAGCTATACTTAAAACTGGGTACATTAAACTTTATAACATTTTTTACAGATTATTTATATCTCAAATACAAATAAAGTTAAATTTTTTTTAAAGTGCACATAAACTTTATGAACACCCTATGTGTGTGTGTGTGTATATATATAATCGAGATCACCCCAAGTAAGGCAGTAAAGCTACTAAGACACAAGGGGTTACTGAGTGTGTAAGAATTAGAAAACAGAAACATTACTAAGGAGCAGGAACAAGAAGAAGAGTAATCAGGAAGACAGTAAATAGCAATTGACATTGCATTTAAATTTTTGAAGATTAAAACTGGCTAGAAAGCATGGAGCTAGAATAGAGTTCCATAAGTTGAAAGTGCAAGAAAAGAAACTGTTAGCATCGAATTTATGGTTACATCTAACCAAATCAACTGTAAACTGATGAGACCTCGACGCTTGTCTAGTACTATGCTTAAATTCATAAAGTTTCAGTACCATAGCAAAGAGTTCATCCAAACAATTATGATGAAAGTACATAAATACACACACACACATATTTATTTATTACTAGCTTAAAAGTCACACTCCATGTGGCATTTTAAGCTACATCCTGGGGTGGGCTAATTGAACCTCTAGCCCAAAACTAAAGGCACCTCTGGCCCAGGTTAGAAAACAGCAATAATAATTTTGAAGAAATAATTTTGTGTTATAGTGGAACACACCTATTCTATAGTTAATAGACTCTCCCACCTATAATAAGTAGTAGTAGTAGTAGTAGTAGT